CTCTTTATTCAAGCTGGGTTTCATCGTTTCGCGACGACGGAGTGAAAGGTCATAATTTGTATGCCCCAGGAGAGCAAGGGCATCCACTTGAAGTGTGAGAACTTCGTTCATGGTGTTGTTTTCGCCGCCATCATGGCGCCGAATGCCGCCAGTTTGGCGAGCATTCATAAGCAGTTGAGCAGACTGTGTGAGAGCTGTGCCAACTGCCACCAAGATTTTTTGGATAGCGACAAGTTTAAGGTCCTGTCGTTGGCCCATGTTTGATATTCGGGACCAAATTTCGGGATTTACCTTGGGAGCAAACAATCGTTCGCAGTTCTCTGGTCGGTAATATTTCGCTATTTTCTCTTTGAATTTGTCGTCCGATAATTTTGACGACCATCTCTTATTGACGATATCAGCCAGCTGAGTCGAGACCGGACTACTTGTTTTATCGTCAGCCGAATACTCCATAGCTAACGTTGTGAGGAATGCATCTTCCTCGTCGCCATCTTTAGTTTCAGCTGATTCGGTCTCTTGCTCTGAAGGATGGTCGTCGATCAGGGCATCAACATCACTCCCTTCTTGATCATTCGACCTCCTTTTCTTGCTGCTCAGAGTCAAAGACTCTGCTGACTCCACGGCCCGAGAATCTCGTTTGGCAGTAGCGGTTGGAGTTTGTTTTATTTTGCGGATTTCTTGACTCATATTTGACATATTGTTCGCCAAAGTAGCCATATGAGCATCTATCGATCGAAGGACGTTTTTTATGGTCGGATCATCTTCGCTAGTTGATAAATCGTCCTCCTTGAGCAGTTCGTTTTCTATCTCGTCTTTTTCCGCCATTTGTTTGTTTCTACGTGTGTTCTTCGCAACGTTTCGCTTGCAAGTGATCTAGCTTGCTTCGCGCGCATATCTCACGTGACTCCTTAGCGAAAATAACCAATCATGAAGTAGAATTATACGCGAACGTATACATGAAATGTCGCTCGCAACGTACTGTATATTGCAATATTCCAACAGCTCAAATAAGTAGAGGATCATTGCTTGAAGTTCTTACACATATTTGTAGTAGCTATCTAATGAACATTTCAGGGTTGTTAGCTAATTAATTCTTGTCACAATTTGGAACCTGATCTTTTTGGCATGTCGTAATTTATTCTTTTGCATCCTTAGAGATTTAGACGCTTATTAACATGCCTCGATGAATTTCTTTGTTTATTCTTTCGTATTCACTTGTGCTTATTTTATAGCTGTAACCTACGTCCAGAATTATTATATTAAAGAGTTTGGCAACCTAGAACGCCAACGACAACTGCAACGGGGAAAATATAATTGCTTATATTGTTGTATTTGAGCCAAAGTATACGTTACTACACTTAATTTGCCTCATTAAGTATTCCTGTTTCTTTCAAACGTATTCTTAAATAAAAATAGTCCGCGAATTCAATAAAACTCTCAAATAACATCGAACGAATGAATTCTTGCCGTAGTCATACACCGTGAAAATGATGCAAATCACGTATTACTTTCAACAACTACGGCATTGCACAACGCTTAAGACCATGTAATTTACATTCGCCTTTGTCTTCGAGGATTAATGCTATTGTTAATGACCATATTGCCGTTGCGGTTGCCCTTGTATTTGCCGAACTCTCTATTATATTTTGCCCACGGAAATTTTAACGGGATCGATAGTCATTCCATATTTCATCCCCTGAAACTCAGCACACGCAGCATTCGTGACCTGGCGAAGCAGAAACGTTCATTTCCTACTAGCCATTATGTTCATTTCCAAATGTTCATTTCCTACTAGCCATTATGATTATGTGCAAAAACATCAATCAATGATTCTTTTATTCATTTGAGCTGTTGGAATAATATTGCTATATACAATACGTTGCGAGCGACATTTCATGTATGCGTTCGTGTGTAATTAACCCAAGAAAATTCAAAATGGCCGACATATATATATATATTCGAAGGTCAAACTTTTCTGGATCCAGTGTATATATATATATATATATATATATATATATATATATATATATATATATATATATATATATATATATATATATATATATATATATATATACAGTCAATGCCGATGTTGTCACCCTAATCTTAGAGTGAATTTGGAAATGTAAATTAAGAAAGAAAAGTACAGTTTTTCCTAATATCTTGCACTCCCCGGCGGGAAATCGAACCCCGGTCTCCCACGTGACAGGCGGAGATACTCACCACTATACTACCGAGGATTACTGATCGTCACTGCTAATATTGTCACCTTACTCTTGGAGTAAATTTGCAAATGTAAATTAAGAAAGAAAACTAGAATTGTTTCGAATATTTTGCACTCCCCGGCGGGGAATCGAACCCCGGTCTCCCGCGCGACAGGCGGGGATACTCACCACTATACTACCGAGGTTTACTGATCGTCACTGCTAATATTGTCACCTTACTCTCGGAGTAAATTTGCAAATGTAAATTAAGAAAGAAAACTAGAATTGTTTCGAAAATTTTGTACTCCCCGGCGGGGAATCGAACGCCGGTCTCCCGCGCGACAGGCGGGGATACTCACCACAATCCTACCGAGGATTACTGATCGTCACTGAGGATTACTGATCGTCACTGCTAATATTGTCACCTTACCCTTGGAGTAAATTTGCAAATGTAAATTACGGAAGAAAATTAGGGTCTTCCTAATTTCTTGCACTCCCCGGCGGGGAATCGAACCCCGGTCTCCCGCGTGACAGGCGGGGATACTCACCACTATACTACCGAGGATTACTGATCGTCATTGCTAATATTGTCACCTTACCCTTCGAGTAAATTTGCAAATGTAAATTACGGAAGAAAAGTAGGGTTTTCCTAATATCTTGCACTCCCCAGCGGGGAATCGAACCCCGGTCTCCCGCGTGACAGGCGGGGATACTCACCACTATCCTACTGAGGATTACTGATCGTCACTGCTAATATTGTCACCTTACTCTTGGAGTAAATTTGCAAATGTAAATTACGGAAGAAAATTAGGGTTATCCTAATTTCTTGCACTCCCCGGAGGGGAATCGAACCCCGATCTCCCGCGCGACAGGCGGCGATACTAACCACTATACTACCGAGGATTACTGATCGTCACTGCTAATATTGTCACCTTACCCTTGGAGTAAATTTGCAAATGTAAATTACGGAAGAAAAGTAGGGTTTTCCTAATATCTTGCACTCCTGTACTGGAATATTCCGCACCTGTCTGGTCACCACACTTATCCAAGGATATCAAGGCTCTCGAATCCGTTCAGAGAAGAGCATCGCGGATAGCACTTAAACAGAAGCGGGGAGAGATGTCCTACCCAGATCGTTGTGTCTTACTAAAATGGAATACTCTGGAAAAACGCAGAGAGTACTTATCTCTCATTGAGCGCTATAAAACAGTTTTTGGCCTAAATGGTATAAACTTCGATGAAGTTTTTGAATATAAGAAATCGAGGAAAACCAGATCAAATCACAAATATACACTATATACCAAGCTTTCTAGAGTTAACTCTTATAAGTATTCTTTTTTTGTCAGAATAGTCACTGCATGGAACGCTTTGCCTCTGAACGTCGTCGAAGCGAGTAGTTTTCATAGTTTTAAGCAGGAACTCAAGCACCACATGAATATTTATTAATTTGCTAATTTACTAATCTACTAATATGTCTAACTTAGTTTACTAATATACACTCATTAAAGCTAGATTACAGTCCATTCTGCGCATGTGCGGGCTTTGTTTACATTTTTTGTTTTGGTTTGGATCCACTTCAATTGTATAATATGAAGTATAGCGGCTATGCACTAAATAAATGGAGTCCGAGTCAGGAGTGGAGTTGTTAATTTTTTAAAAATTGTCTTCTGAAAGACAAGCAATTAAATATTTTGAAAGATCATCAATGGAAGATATATTGTTGATCTATTCGGCATTTGTTTTTTGTGTGCCTCGTTGATGAAACATTCAGAAGAGACCGACACAGCCGAGCCAAAGGTGCGAGTCCGCACTCATGACTCATTGTGTTGATTATATTAATGTTCGGCATTGTAAAATAAACTTTGGAAGTGTCAAAGTAATCATGAGTCTTTCCTTGGGGTATTTGTTCGTCAAAACACATTGCCAGAGTCATTGTTGCTGTCATGGCAGAAGCACTCGGAGAAAGCTTTTCGCTGGAAGAATTGGAAACGATATGTTCATGTCGCAGCTTGCGCCAGCTTCTGTCTTCGATAGAGAGGCGAAATTCCTGTCCCTGCAAAAGTATGGGTATTTTTTGCTCAAGCGCGTGCCACGAAGAGGACTTTGAATCATGTATGAACAATAGAAGGACAGATGGTGAGTTTGTATTATTGCTATTAGTTTATATGCACTGTTCGTTATAAACGTGCTTCACATGTAATCTTATTGTATTGGTTCATTAGTTTATATATGTTTCGTTAGTTTATACGCAAAAAAATGGCCTGAGCAATGGTTCATTTGAGAATATGTAATGTTGTTCACTGTGATAGTTCACTCAAAGGATAATGATTATCTAACAATAGCTGGGTAAACTTTGTTTACATATTTTGATACTTTGCCTGCCAAGAGTATATGCAGACATACATTTCTGAAAGCTTTAACCACTGCCCATTGGCTTTAACACACATGATTTGTTATATTAAATACCCCACATAATTATGCATATCCTTGCCGGGTAAAACATCAAATTATGTAAAAAAAAGTTTGCCTGTCTATATACAAGTCTACATAGGTGTGAAATGCAGTAATTTGGTGGTAAGAAATATCTGTGTTTCACTGCGCTTGAATTTTTGCATTTAATTAATGATAAATATATTCATTTCAGACTCTTGTGGTAGCATTGGATTTAAATGCCCTTTGAAGAGCATTTGCTCTAGAGCTTATACAGCATCAGCCAGCAGCATTTGTCAATTTGGTAAATGGTGAATTGCCAGGTGAACCGCTTCAACCAGACCCAGCTATGAAAACCCAGAAAATGCCTCAGAGTATTGCAAATGTGGATGGTGTGTTGCAATGCCAACACAATTGGAAAATAGCCCTCTCTTCCCACACTTAGTACTTGATGGAAATGTTCGATCTGGACCTGGCCATGCATTAGAGGGAAGACTTTTTAGTGTTAAATAATATTAGAAACAATGAAAATTTTGCCATGCTGCTCGCCAGACAATACGTACTCTGGCAACAACGAATGTTAGGAATTCGGAACAGGAGAGTGATTCCAAGCTGTTGTGTTACAGCAATACGGAGACGATATCCTTCTCCAAATGGGATATACACTGGGTATCAACCTGCTAGATTGTAAATATTTGTTGCACATGTTTTTATTATGTTATTGATCATTGAGGGAAACTTTATTATTCATTAATCCATTTTACTGCAATTATCTCCCCATGACAGGGAGGATCATTTAAAATATTTTGACAGAACATGGGTAATTCACACCTGTTAAGGCCCGTTCACACAAGCGATTTTAAACTTTGATTTTCTCCTTTTGGCATATGTGTTTTAGCAAAATTACAGGAAACATTACTTTGCGTGGCTTGGTTATTCACTCTAACACATACACCAAAAGTAGACAATTGCAGTTCAAAATTGCTTCAAACTTATTTTAAGCTTTCTCTGTCTACTAACCACAGCAAATTTTGCTGACAAATGAAAGACTTTATCATGTCAATGGGTTAAATCTTTTATGAACAGTAATATTTCATTTTATAAAAGACAAGTTATCAAATGCATTGGATGTTCAAGCACAACATTTGGTATTGACATTGATTTTTTTATTCTTTAAAATTACTCCTTGCTCCTTACTTCAGTCCTGAAAAGTGTATTGCTGTGCACCGAAGATCAATGAATCCAATATGGACAGCCTGACTCACTATTTGGGTCCGGGAGTTTGTAATCAGAGTTCCTTCTCCTAGGTGGACTGCCTTTCAGGGATTACAAGCTCCACCTAACCAGAGCACTTTGTTTTAAGTGCCAGACACTTGTCTACAGTGATCAGTTGAATCTAGACTGATGGGTTTCAACAAGTTCTTTGACTGAAGGAGGAGGGACAGGGGTTATGTTAGGAGCAATTTGCCTTCGGTCATCACTTGTAACACCAATCCCCATACCTAAAGAAGTAAAGAAGACTTATAATTAGTTTTATTCCTGTTTAAATGCACATTAGTGCCTGCTGACCAATGTGTTTTAAAAACACTTAAATGGCTTTTTTCAAGCCACATTTTGATTTTGTTACCGGTAATGTTCATGCAAATCAAAATTTGGCTTTCCAAAAAGCCATTTAAGTGCTCTTAAAACAGATCAATCAGCAGGTGCTACTGTGCTCTTAACATGCCTACAGAATGATCAAAATATTTATGTTTGAAAAGGTGATATAAAGAATATGGAATTTCATAATGAAAGCTAAATGTCACTTTTTTCTCACTAGGTTTCAGGAAAGCATAAAATGTTATACATATCTTCATTATAAGTTGTAGGATGTATTTGTAGTGTTTAGGAGAATCTTTAAGAATCTTTATGTGGCTCCATTGCTGTTTCCGGCCCTTGCTGAACATATACTCATTATACTGGCAATGGCTCATGTCTGCATTGTATTGTTTCATCTGGCTACTGATCCGTCTGGGTTTCCACAGCGCTATAAGTGCACAATAAAGTTTTGTAATGAGGAAATATAACAGCATTAACATAACTGAAATATCCAGGGATATGTGTTATGTACTTACCACAATTAAATCCGTCTTGATGTTTCGTATCAGGCTCGATCAGCAGAGTATTTGCAAACGCTCGTCACTTTTGATTCCAGCTTCAGTTTTGAAATGATTTCACCGACCAATAGCATCATTAAAGTACATTTTCGTTAAATACCTTTTCGCGAAATGTTCTTTTCGATTTCCTGGTTGGTTTTGGCGACCAGCATTAGAAGGATTTGTCTTTGAAGTGTACAGCTCTATTATAGAACACTTGCGAGTCGGCCATTTTGAGCGCGCATATCCGAATAAGGACTGGGGAACACACAAAATCAAAACAAGTGTGCTCACATTTGTTTACATTTTTTACACATGCGCAGAAGGGACTGTAATCTAGCTTTAAAATAAAAAAATTAATTCACGAACCATTTTTTCAGAATTAATTCGAACCCTGGTTAGTGAATCTGGTTATATCCTGTCTCAGCACTATCATTGCAAACATCACTTTATACAAGTGAAGCTCTTTATAAACCCACTATTAAAAGACTCGTCCCCTTGACAAGTAAAATCATCTTGCAATTTAGACAGAGTAATGCAATACAGTAGAGGACACTTGAGCACATTAAAGATCGATTATCGATACACTAAAAGTATCACATTAAATGCTGTTGTTCCTCTCTGATTCCAATTCTTATTGAAGTACTAAGGGAGTGGTCATTATTTATGGGGAGAGGGGTTGGGAAATGGGAGGGGGGGGGAAACGAAGTTTTACCCTTATAAATAGGGGGGTCAAAAAGTTTTAACACAGAGAAAGGAGGGGGGGTCATAAAAGTTTTTGAACTTAAATACCATGTCTAGAGTTCTGATTTCTATAATCACAAATAGCAAAAAAGAAGACTCTGAAAATGCTATTTCCAACGATCTAGAGCGACAACCATGGTAGCGCCTCGTGATCGTGGGAGTCGGGGCCCACTAAGTTTAACAAGCTTTCTACCCCCTGAGTGACCCAGTTGTGGTATTTACATAAACATACCATGCAAGTACACTTAACTGGTCAGATTCGGTCTATCAATGCACAATGTAATGCTGTATATCCAAAAATCTGTTTCAGAAAATGCTCACATTTCAGTTCTAGGGGTGGAAAAATACAAAACATTTTCTGGGGGAGAATACCCCCAGACCCCCCTACTAGTACATACGATACCACACCAAACTTTTTGTCACCAACAACCATCTGTCATCTCTCCACACTCAATATAGTATGGTCCCTTTTTGTAGATGCCCACCCCCCAGACAAGTTCTTAAAAAAACCCTGTGTTCAAATCATTTTGCTGTATGAAGACAGGTCATGGGTTAGGGTTATGGTAGGACAAATGTTGCATTGCAAAGTAGTAACACATAATATATATTTTTTAATCATATATGGTTAAATCATATTCACCAGGGTAAAACATCATGAGCTAGATTATAAACAGATTGTCCTAATATCTAACTTTACCTGCAACGCACACCTGTTTCGTTGCTGTTAATTTTTCAATCCACACTGGGGGGGGGTCAGAAAAGTTTCTACTTTTATGAGGGGGGAGGCACAAAAAGTTTGCCTTCAGTCTGGAGGGGGTTCAAACCTTATTTTCCCCATTTCCCAACCCCATAAATAATGACCACTCCCTAAAATGCAAACCATATCTTTAAAAGCATTCGGATGTTTAATATATATTATTTCATATAATTATTTACCCAGCTTGACAATAGTGTTAACTCTTATTAAGCAAAGTGCCAAATTATGCCAAAGAAAATATTGCTAAGTTGTCTGATAATAGTGTGAAATTTAGTATAGAATTCACAATAATAGGTTCGAATTTATATTTTATTCTTTCTCTCCTGCCAGAAACCAACATTTTGTATGTTTTATATGCAAATTGAACGCGGCAAATTCAAACATTCAACGGAATTTTAAAACACATAGCCCACATGGGCCGGGGCCACATGGCTCAAGTTAACAATCATATTCACCACATTATTTCGCAATTAAAGTGTTTAAATAATAGTCAAATATAAAAGTATTCTTACCTGTGGCATCTGAATAACATGTTAAGAACTTTCCGATTCATTTTCCAGCGTTTGGGTTAAAAATATCAACGAAATATTCCAAGCACCGCAGTGACCATACCAAATAATTTTTATCACAAATAAAACGATGCTATCCCATGAAGCTTTGCGCTCTGAAACGTAATCTAGTCACCAGGGCGTCCAAGAGAGCACAGCAGTATTCTTTTCGAGACTTGCGTACCTGTATATGGCTGTAAAATCTGTGAATAGGTAGTCTTTGTCTTCTTTCGTTTGCTAATTTGCATATAAACACTAAAACACTGTTTTTAAATACGTAAACAAGCCATATTTAACTTTCGTATTAAATATTTTCGTATAAATATTGTCGCCCTTCGACGCTTCTGCTTTGCAGGCTATTTTCACATGGTCGTCCGCTGTACATTGTATCGCATGTAACGGTTTTGTAAATACGCGCGAAACTTACAATAAGAAATAGAGGGGAGTGAAACTGTGGGCACGTGATCAATATTAACCAACAGCATTTCGGGATTTGAGAACCGCTTTCTCCAACGTTTGTAGCAAAACCAAACGCTTACAATAAGATTAGAGTCGACTGTAAAAGCCTACCAAAAACTGATTTGTTCACAATTCGTAAACGTTTCAACTCTGATTCCTTTTTAAATGTATTATATCATGCTTCTACTTCGAGAATATTGCCCATAGCATGTTCGAGAGTAGTAATAATATAAATTTTATCATTATTTATATTAATGTTGTTAATAGTTGTGAATTGTGATTTAGAAAAATAACGTATATTAGTTATATTAAACACAAATATTCCCGTTTTCAGTAGTATATCGTATGCTGGTTTTACTTGGATAATTTCACATTAGAATATTTGAAAATGCCTTTAATGTTATATAAAAGTAACACAAAATATAACAAAATCGTGACGAAATGTCGAAATTTGACCCCGTTGTTTAGTATATTAATGTACCGAAATATGATTTAAAAAAGACAAATATATGGCATACTATACGATCAACCACAGTTTGGATTAACTATGGATCAACTCACGTTAAAAATGTGTGAACTGAAGCCAAGATTGCATAATTCCATAATTATATCTAGCAGTGACCTGTGCCTAGCAACGGTTACTGTGCCTAGCAATTTGCTACAGCGTCTGTCGAAAGATTTTACCGGATGTGCCCACAGTTTCACTCCCCTCTATTTCTTATTGTAAGTTTCGCGTGTATTTACAAAACCGTTACATGCAATACAATGTACAGCGGATGACCATGTGAAAATAGCCTGCAAAGCAGGCGCGTCGAAGGGCGACAATATTTATACGAAAATATTACGAAAGTTTATATGGCTTGTTTACGTATTTAAAAACAGTGTTTTAGTGTTTATATGCAAATTAGCAAACCAAAGAAGACAAAGACTACCTATTCACAGATTTTACAGCCATATACAGGTACGCAAGTCTCGAAAAGAATACTGCTGTGCTCCCTTGGGGTGTCCAGTTGAAGCGCGAACTATTGGTATATATTCTATAGGGATAAATTTCCAATAGGAGTGCTTGCATTAGGGACCATCGGGAATTATAGAAATCCTAGCTAGCTAAACACATTAATACTAAAAACATAACCACTGAGTATTTTAACAAAATACAAAACAAGTGTAACTCCAAAGATCGATAATATAGATCGATGTAGATCTTTGGAGTTACACTTGTTTTGTATTTTGCTATAAAAAACAGAGTAAAAACATATTAGCAGCAATAGGATTCTATATTTTATTTAACATCCTATACGAATTCCTAAAGGAAATTCCCATAGGAAATTCCTATAGCAAAATTCCTATAGGAAATTCCTATAGGAAATTCCATGGTTTTTCACGGTCTTGGTATTGACCAATCAGGTGATCGTATTCACCGTTCAGAATCTGAACGGCGTGTAGTCATGAAAGGTGGCCTTTCCTGCAGGCCCTCAATCCTCCCCCGGAGCCCGCCAAAATCCTGCCCACTGCAAATCAGGCCCCCCATAAATTTGAGGGCCTGCCACGCAGGCTACTGATACTTTTACTTTATCTAACGCCAGACAATGGGCGGGCGGACGGACGGATAGATGGCGGACGGACAGACGGATGGCATTTCCAAAAGGATAAAACGCGGATATGGTCCAAAATATATTTTTCATGCCTTTATAAGTCATATCCGCGTTTTCTCCAGAAGAATAAAACGCAGATATGGTCCAAAATATATTTTTCAGCCCTTTATATGCCATATCCGCGTTTTATCCAAAAGTATAAAACGCGGATATGGTTCAAAATACGTTTTTCAGTCCTTTATAAGTCATATCCGCGTTTTATCCAAAACTAAAACGCGGACATGGTTGACAAATGAACTTATGACAAGCGAACGTATGACAAATGAACTTATTTTCGCTTTGAAAGTAATGAAATGGAATAGTTAAACTTTATAAATGTCACAAATAAAGCTAGCTAAACCAAATACTGACGTCAGATTATCTTTATCAATAATATTATGAAATACGATGTGTCGTGAGCTCATGAAGATCCGCACGATGTGTGAAAGGATTAGAGTTGAAGGTGCTGGTAACCATAGTGCCATGTCCAAATTGATAAATCGATGATGGCTTGAAAAATAATTCATCTGAACAAATGTGCTATTTATTTGGAATAGTATCCTTGTAATACAATTTCATTTAAATATATGGATGACTCAATTTGATTCATATTAGACTAGTCCGTATCACAAACAGAGAACGCGCGCCAAATTTGACTATATACTAAAACTGTCTGTACCAGCTAGTGTAGGTAGTACCAATGTAGAAATGCTGTGCTGAGTGGTTATATTACTACCTTAAAAAATAAGCAGAAACTCGACGTTTCGAGCGAAGGCTACTAACTCTTGACGAAGGGCCTTCGCTCGAAACGTCGAGTTTCCGCTTACTTTTTAAGGTAGTAATATAACCACTCAACACAGCATTTCAAATTTGACTATATCGAGTCTGTCACATGATCAGTTATCACAAACTCGAGCCGAAGGCGGGAGTCAACCACTGAGCTATATAATACATGGATAGCGCAACAGCCGCCGCAACTATAGATACAGAAATTGAAGCCGGAAGTCGCGCGCGGCCGCCATCTTACTGTGACCACCTTGAGGAGTGAGCTGTTGTGGTTAATTAATACGGTATTTTCAACTATTTTGTTCTGTTATCTCGCAATAGAGGAACAAATCAAGTCAAATATGGTATTTTAAGCAAAAGCGCATGCAGTGGTGTCAAGTAACGAAGTAAATGTACTTCGTTACTGTACTTGCGTACTATTTTTGAGAAGTGAGCATGTAACAAAGTAAACTTTTTCTGGAGTACTTTTACTTGGAACGAAGTCATTTTAAGAAGTAACGTTTTACTTCGTTATTTTCATTTTGTGGCGAAGTATTACGTTACTTTCTAACTTTTGTTTAATTTTACGTGATTTATTTTAATTTCGGGAAAGGTAATACGACCTCTACATGCGTCCGGGATCTCTCGTTTATGACTTACTTATAAGAACTATTTATTTAATGGATTTCTTATATCTTCAACGGAGTCTGGAAAGCAGACCATGCCGTGAAATATTGTATATTCGGTGCACGCATATAATGCGTGTGTTGTTTTGTGTCTTTTGTATGTTAATCCATTGGAGAAGTTCCCTTCCCCCTCTACAGGCTGCAGACAATAGTACTTTTACTTTTACTTTGTACTTCAAGTATTGTTTTAGGGATACTTTGTACTTTTTACGTAAGTACGTTTTCCTTCCTCTTTTACATTCAAATGAACTCAATCGTAAAAAAACGAATTTTTTACGACGTTTTGAGTCAATGCTGACATGTCTTGTTATACCAGGCGTATTTGTCGTTTACCTACCAAATAAAACACGCCAAGAAACTTGCTGATACTTTAACTTGATCCAAATTCGTTAGAAATCGTTTGTTTCCTCGTATAACTAAGCTGGCTCATCTTGTGTCCCGTCGATACGTTTTTTCATGAAAATACAGTTTTGCAATTTAAAGGTAATTTTTTGTATTCTTTCCTTATTTTAAAGTATTTTGATCCCCTATTTTATTCTTGAGTGAACGTTTTTAGTGTCCAGATAAAATTCTCTCATTTGTCGATTCAGGATGGTATAGATATTATAATAGTACTGATGTTTGAATAAAACCAGTTTGTTCAGCTTCTTTCTAACTTTTTCACCACCAATTTTGTCTGTAGCCTCTCTTCCCAAGTGGTACAATCTGACTTTACAGTAGCATTTTGCAATTAGTTTTATCAATATGAAAGTATGGTTCTCATTGACAGCCATATCTAGCATGTGATTGTCAAGCTCTGAAAATGTTTTGGAAGTATTTATGCTTCCCAATACAGCTGTGGCAATAGCATCAGATACACCTTTACAATGTGGAAGATTTTTTTGGTTTTAATGAGCATTCTTTGAAAGCATTTCTCAGTTTCTTCACAAATTTTCAGTACACTTTGGGTAGGCTTAAATAAAGACCCTCTGTCTTTCATTTTCAGAAAGCTTCCTTGTGCGGGATGACCGATAGAACCAACAGCTTGACTACAGGGCATGCAAGAAATTTGCTTTCTCACCATTTGTGCAACGTAGCCTCCAATATAAGATATTGCAGCTTTCTTGTACTCTGACAAGTGAACAATATTAGGTGAGTCACAATAGTCATGGTCGTAAATTACAGGTTCTCTCTCCACTAAATCATACTTTCTAATCATTGCAGCAGTTGAAATACTAATTTCTTCATTGTTTATCTTGCATGTATCATCAACAACATGAAGGATTTCTGTTGGATCTCGTTGTTCACAATTTCCTTTACCTCCTTGAATGCTACTCCTCATGAGCAGGCGCTTATATGCTGATGTAAACTGCCCGGTGGTTGGGTTGTTGTTGAAGCCTCCTGCTGATCTGATTGCACAAAAAACAGTTCCAAATGGTCTTGGCTAAATTTGTAGCTGAACAAATATTTCATTGGAGCTTCTGCTCGTTCAACCAGTTCATGAAACTGACCGGCTTTGATGCTTTTGACTGCTGCAAGAAAACCAATGAAACCAGTCTTCCGCCGTGTTGTATGCATTAATTGTCCGTCAGCACTTTTTAGACCAAGGATGTAATTGTATGCATTATCTAGATAAGGATCCCAAACACTTTTATTTGCAACCAGCAGTGGTGCCTTGTAGCCTTTTGCACATGGGTTACGTGAATTCAAGATATCAAAAAGACCATCAAACAATTTGATCAACTTAACTGTTGCTTCTGAGCCTTGAAACTGTGGTAGCTTTAGTTCCTTGTTACAATATTCAATAGCATTAGCCACACTAGAGCTAAAAACTTGTGCTGCTAGGTTGACTTTCATTTTTTGCTGCCACCATTTTATGTGCGCCAACTTCAATTTATTGTCTAGTCGCAATCCTTCCTTATTCTGTAATTTTTCCAAAGCTACAGTGTAATCCCAACAGATCTTTTCTCCATCTTTATCAATCAGAATGTGCTTTTCACCAAGAGTATTTTCACCAACATATGACAAATGTCTAGCAACGTTCTTTTTCGGATCCATTGGATGAGAAAAATAGGGTTGAAGAGTACCTGGTTCAAGACAAGCTCCAAGTGCCTTCAGCATGGCAAAGTGGCATGATGGCCCATCACATGTTAATGACACTACATCTACTCCAACATCATTCAGTTTCTTGATGCAGGTTTTTACTAGGTTAGCACGCTCTGAGCCACTTAGGCCATCAACAAAGAAATAACCGCATGGAATTTTCCATGAACTGTTTACACAAACAGCCATTAAAACAAGTGCATCTTTTGCCACTGGAGATATGCTTAAAAGCGTTAAAAGCTGGCTCTGTAAATCCAGGGTCTGCAGGGATTTTTGCATACCATTTTCTGATCTGCGATTCATGCAGGGCAATTCTAGCAGACACTCCCCCCCTATATATAATATATATATATATATATATATATATATATATATATATATATATATATATATATATATATATATATATATATATAAAATATATATATATAAAAATATATAT